CGACGCATCGGAAGTGCAACCAAACGGTTTTCCATTTCTGGGGGGTTGGGGGCAGCCCGACAGGATATGCAGAGCGTCGCAGACGGTGGCGGCTTGTTTATTTATAAGTTATGCATTTGCCTGTTCATATTTATGTTAATTTTCATTTCCATTTCGACAAATATAACAGGATCTTTGATTAATGCAACGCACCTTGGCGGCAACGTGGGAGCCAAGTCTGTAAATACTCGAACATGATGATGAGGTGTGCGGGTGTATGGAAGGGAGCTGGCTGTGAGAAAAAACAGCTCTGGTTCAGTTGTAGAGCTGGAAAATACAAGTATATTTCCTACTCCCCCCTACTCACCCCTCATTACGAGTCTGTGCTCTCAGATTGGCAATTCTGTGGCCAGCTCTTGACACATTCAAGCCGAAACTGAACCACTTAAATTGGTTTCTAGGCAGAAAAATAACAATCATATTAAAATATATATAAACAAAGGGGGCTCTCCACTCACTCGTACATGAAAAAAAAAAAAACACACAGCACAGGCACAGGCACATGTCCAAATTGATGCCCTGGGGCATTACGAGCATTACGAACATTGCGAACATTGCGTGGACAAGCGGCGGCGAGTCTGTTGGGCGACTTGGCCAAAAACGGTCTCATTTGCGATTCGATAAATTCAAATTGTTATGATCCGCAAATGTCAAAATTGTAGCGAACTGAGTGCTGGCCAGCAATTGTTATTGTTGCTGTTTGCATTGCAAATATTTAGAAACTAGCTGGTGTGTGTGTGTGTGTGTGTGTGTGATTCATGCGGCGGATGCGGCCATAAGCTGGAGCTGGAGCTCTGGCACTTGTTAGCCAAAAAACTATTCAAGGTCCATGCTCTAAGTGCTCTATAAACGACAAAGTAGCGCCACAAACCGCAGCCCCCTCACGCCCCCCAGCTGCTGTAGGCTTGCAGTTTTGTGGTTCGCCACACTTCAGCCTTGGGGCTAGACAACAACAACAAAAACAACAACGACAACCACTGACGACGGCCTGAAGACGGACAAATGATGGTTTCTCTGGCAGCAGCGGTGGCTCGTTGAACTTTCTTCAATCAAATGAAATGCTCTTTAAGCTTAATTGTCTGGCTGTTTTTTTTATGCTTCAATTTTTTACTCATTTAAAGATTGACTGAGCTCCATGGCTATTCAAATGCTATGAAAATATGCCCGATATTTATGTTGGCATGCCGGCACAGTGGCTTCGAAATGATTTGCATGTCGAGTAATTAGAAAAAGCATTAATTAAATGGGACCACAAGGTGTTTACTTTCTTTCTGATATATACTCTTTAGTTATACTGTTAATATTTCAATCACTTGAATTAACTTTATATCAGAATATAATTATAACTCGAACTAGGGGGTTTACTTTCACAAAAGGATCCAATTATGAAAACCTTTTGGTTACAGGCTTGAACAATTTAAGTTTTTTTTTAAATACATCGGTCTGATGCTTGTTGAAAATGCGTTTTGGAATATTGGAAATATTTTTTAAAATAATCTTTAAAACTTCTTTATATCTTAAAAGTCAAATACATTTTTCTTAGGTACATTTCTATTTTAAGAATAATTTGCATATAATTTAGGGATTCATTTGTGTACCACTTCTACTTTAAGCTATTTTACCAATTTGTAATTCCTTATTTAGAAAGATTTAGGCGCAGATTTGATGGCCAGAACAGTAGTGTAAGAGAGAGGCTAGAAACCGGAGGCAGACATTGCAACATTTTAAGCGGCATCGAGGCAATTTGAAATTGGTTTCCATTGTTTATGCATTTTGTAGACTCACATATTAGATGTCTCCCTCGTCTCCCGCGCCTTGCCTTCGGATCAATATGAAAACGTAGAAATTTGAATGCCACAGACGACAAATAGGCAGCCAAGCTGAAAGGCAATCAGGCAGCCAAAGAGAGGAAGAAGAAGAAGACGAAGGTGAAAAGAATTCTGGGCCAAAACACTCCATCATCATAAACAATGAAAACCATAACAAATGTGGCCAGCGATACGCAGGGGCCAAGTAAAGTGGCATAAAGTGCGCGCACGCCAATTGCTTAAAGCGTTATGATGAAGCAGCCGATGGAGAGGGCTTGAGGGGGGGAGGGGCTAGGGCGGGGGATGCGGGCGAGATCAACTTTGTAGGCATCGCGTCGTTGACTGCTAAGACAGTTAGACCGCACAGTGGCACATCAAAAACTGATTTCGATTGCCTTCACGCCACAGTGGGAGAGATGGCCGATCGATTGGGGCGATTGCCTCAAATTCTTTGCTGTATGTAATTAATAATTAATTGCAAACTTTAAGTTGAAAAACATATCAAATTTATTACTTATTAAAAAAAAATGTAAAATTTTAGTTTATAACAAAAACAAATATTCAAATATTTGCGGTATGTAATTAATAATTAATGGCAAACTTGAAGCTGAAAAACATATCATATTTATTATTAGATTCATTTCAAATATTTAACAAAAAATTTAGTTTATAACAAAAAGAAATATTCAAAGTCAAAGCTATTATAAATGGGGTCGTTTACACTAAGTATTTCTCCTATGCAGATATTAAATTGATGGAAATAATAGACATATTTATAGACACTTTTTCAATTCAAATAATTTAGAATGTGTTGAAGAATTTCATTATAAAATGTAGGAAATGAATTAATAATTCAAAATCGAGACTTTAACAATAAGGCTATCTTGTTGTTTTATTTTATTCATTTATAAGTATTATCTTTACATACTTTTGGATATATGTAGTATCTTAGTATTATATTGGAAATAACAACAAAGTACACACACATACTTGTGTACCCTTTAACCGAAGGAACCTATGTAGGTTTATAGCATATAGCATTTTTGACTCCACAAAAGATAACTATTGAGCAATCTATATTGCCATGTCTGTCCATCTGCTTAGATAATATTAATCTACATTGACCAAGAGGTTATACGAGTATATACATTCTTATGATTCGACAACTAATGAGCCATTCGGCTACTTAGAAACAGACATACAATTATTCAGGCACTGGCAGTTAATAATCAAACATTGCTAAGGCATCTACAATTGTAAGAGTTCTAAGCCTTTTTGCCGTTTTTTGTAAGATTTCCTACTACTAATAAAGACTTCTGAATTGCTAATGAAGACTTCTAAATTTCGTCAATACTGTTCAAGCTGAAACATAATGAAATATTATATATCCAACTCTATTTATAATTTCTAAATAAAACTAATTGTTTTAAACAGCAACGGAAGCATTTCAACGGCCGGGAAATGTCTGATAAGTTTTTAGGCTCGCAGCTGTGTAAATCTCAGGAGTAAAATAAACAATTTTGTTGGAAACTGTGCCAGAATTGTTAATTCTACCACTGTGACCCGTTAGGATTTTGACGTGAATTCGACGGGCAGCTAAAATGATTTGATTGTCTTTGCTGCTGCAGTCGGGGGGCATTCTGGTGGGCTCTTTATGGCTGGGTTCGTCATCAGACAGTGTGCTTCTCTATGGAGCACCCCCGCCAAGAGCGCTTTCGAAAGCGCTTTATGCAAACAGCAGTGAAGCCGGGGCGGGGGCGGGGCCGGGGGCATACACATCTAAGCGCCTTACCGACAAACAGCTGGCCAGTTGACTCGACTGCAGCCTCACATGATCATCTCCATCATCTAAATCGTCATCATCAGTGCCATCATCATCATGATGATTAAGAGTAGCAGCAACGGCAGCAGCATTGTCATAATCAAAAGCGTTATCTGGTAGCTAACAGCCGCATAATTTCAAGTGCCTCTCAGTGCCTCGTTGGGTTCGACGAAGTGGATTTGCGGTTGGAAATCAACACGTCGCTGTTAGTCGAGTGTGCCGCACAACTGTCTACCATCTTTGTTGATGTTGTTGCTGTTGTTGTTGCTGCTGCTGCTGCTGCTGCCGGTGGTGCTGCTGCTGCCTGTTGATGTTGGTGATGGTGATGGTAATTACGAATGTGTTGGCGCAAATGAAGAAACGAGTGTGCAAGTTGGCTGCGAGTTGGCTGGGGAGCTACAGCTACAGGCTGGCCCAGCGCTTGCCTCAAAACAAACAAGAAACGGTGAAAAAAGTGCTCGAATATAATAATAACAATAAAGAAATTATAACAATAATAAACTAATGGTGGGGAGAAAATATATGTGTGTATGTGTACTCGTACGTAGGCAAAAGAGCAAAAAAGCGCGACTTTCGCCTTTTGTGGCACTGCGGCATATCCGATTACCCGACCTGGCTGGGATGCCCAGGAAAGTTTTGTGTTATACCTTTAAGCTGTGATGGAAAGAGTGCGACATCAGATGAACCGTTTTTCCATAGGCATTTGACGACGATTTGATATTAAATTACCTGCAGCTACTGGAGCTACTGGGTGAAAGCGTCTGAGATGCGACCGCAAGTGGCCCTTTTAAAGCGAGGATGGAGGAAGGTTAAAGGTCGATTCGCGAGCAAGTGGTTCAAGTAAGAATTTACACTCTCTAAAGAGCAACAGTGTTCGTGTATATAGAGAAGCTCAAACGGAGGTACTTTAAGACTTATAAAATGGTTCGTCCGCTCATCTGTCTACTTGTCTTAATGGATCTCCATTGAATGCAGTTCACCAAAAATCGAAAGAACTAAAATTACAAGTATTATTAAATTATTTGGTGAAAAATGTTAGCAATGGTGATCGGAGTTTTTTTTATTTTGTTATCACCCATACTCACTTATTTCAGAATTCCTTATAATTTCCTTCTTTCAAATCAGATTTACAGCTAATTTTTATATATATTAGTGTGGATAATTCCTTTACAAATTGCTATATTGGAGTGACCTCGGGCTTATCGTGAAATCCCACTTTTGGCTGACTGTTAACTTCTCTAGACTTCAATCTTTTCGTGGACTCCGAATTACTTCGATATTCGGATTTCGCACGCTCCATTGTATGGCCATGACCTTCAAGGTAACGGATCTGATGGAGTTCCTCATAGTGTGATTGAACTAACAATACTGAATAGGTAAAAAAAACTGTAGACATGCAGCACGTTTCAATGTTTGTTAGCTGATTGGTAAACCACTTGACATACATAACGAAAAGAAGAGGAGAAATAAGAAGCGCAGCTCGTAATAGGCAAAGGCTCTATAACAACAGTATAATGTCTGAAACACGAATATCGGTAGGATAATAATCAGCCACGTTGCGAGCAATATGCGTACGCCCTAAAACAAGGAAACAGACTATAAAGTTCAGTCGCATCTCATGATATTACCAACAGGGCGCCAGTTAGCAGCAGCGAGGCTCCGATATATTCCGAAGCTTGTTCCACAAAGAATAAAACTCCAGTGACCATGGTGTTGGTATATAATGCTAAGAAATGTGTTTCTTACGGAACGTCAATAAACTCAATCTATAAATAACGTACCGCCATAAAAATATGTTTCCAAAATCAAGGATACATAATGCACAAGCGCCATACAAATACAGCCAGTTCTTAGTTCCCAGCGGTTACAGAACGTATGAAAAAGCATTTCGATATTTTCATACAATTTAGATGTGACACTAATTCCCTGGCAAAAAAAACCCGACCACAAATATAAGTATTAGATAAAGGGAAGTTATATTTTTTAGAGCTATACAGGCTCACATTTCTCGGACACTGATCTGCTGAGTTTCCTTTTGCCAAATACTATTATCTTAAATCTTAGTTTTAAAGAATTTTTAAGGAATCTTTTACATATATTACAACATAGTTTGTCCCTTCCAACTTACTGTACAGATCATTCCTTTGACAGCTTTATGATGTAATCACCGATTTTGATTAAACTTCATATTGTGTTGATGCACTATGAAAGCTCATTGAAATAAACAGAAAAATATTATTTGAAGAATGACAAAAATCTATGTATCTATATCTCCCAAAAACATTTCTTGTTTTTAAAGATCTTTTAGCTATAACTCACAAAAAATGAATTTTGAACCGATATTATTGAAATTTTAGAATATTATGAGGAACTAAAGAAGTCTCAAGCCATGTCGTAAAAAATACCATAGGTTTAAGTACAAAATTTAATTTTGATCATTGGTAAGATAAATCAGAATATAGTAGGTGTACTGGAAAGTACTAAAATAATAAATTCAAGTGTATTTGGTAAGGTATTTCATTTACATTAGAACGATTTTTTTGTGCAACAAAAAAACAACTCTTTATTATTAAAATTTAGTTCTAGATTTAGATTTAGTTTCTCATTCTAAGTTACAAATGTTAAAATAAATAATAAAATAAACAAAATTTAGTTACGACATTTTTGAACACGAAAAAGTTACCCTGCTAAGAGAGATTTTAACACCGAAGGAAACTCCTTAAAATACAAAATTTCGTACCCCTCGTTGTTCAATGGATGTCTATATATACTTATCTACCTACTACTACTACCTCTGTATACCATGGGGTGCTCTTCCTGTTACCAGAATATATTAGGCATTTGGTCTTTCTGGTATATTCAAATTTCTATCATTCGGAACAGGACGACAATTTTCTCAATGAAGAAATAAGCTTTTCAATAAAATTAGTTTCCAATTTAAGCGATGAGCTTAAAAAGGCTGTTTTTATTCTGATTTATATTTCATTTCTTTCTGGTAACCTAAATAAATCAAAAAAGTCGTGAAATAGAAAAAAACAATTGCTTTTTCCTGACACAGAAAGGAGAAACAGTTCTGGACTTACAATTTATTGATATGGAAACGCGTCTTCCAAATTTTCACTACTAATTGCCAGCAAATTGCGACAAGAAATGTGGAAAGAAAAAAGTCTGGCCCATACAGAAGGCGCACGAGGTGTGTGCGTGTATATTTGTTGTTTGTATGCATGTGTGTGTGTGTGTGACGTGCCTTGCTCACGTGCAACGTGCCACGCTCCTTTGTTGTTATTGTTGTGGCAATTTCACTTTAAAGAAAACCTTTAAGGAAATGTCTACAAATGTCCATTTCGGTTTGTGATATTTCCTTAAAAGATTTTTGTTTAAAGCACACACAAACACACACACACACACACACATACAAAAAGCAGCAACAACATGAAAAAGGCGAGTTGGCAACAAATGGAATTGTGGGTGAAAAGTTCAAATGTCAAGTAAACTTTCAAACAAAGGTAAAAGTTATACAAAATACAACAACAATACACCCTCACACACACACACACACACACACACCCACATACACACTCGAAGAATTGGCAAACGATTTTTTATGCAAATCATAAATCAGGCAACGAAAAGCAGCCGTTTCAATTTCAAATCCAATGCAAAGTGATTGGCCAAAACGAATGAAGCGCGTATAACAGACTGACTGACTGACTGACTGACAGACTGACTGATTGACGCGACGACGCAATGCCAGAAATTGAGCGCAGTGAATCACATTTTCAAAATTTTGCACACTTTCTTAGCCCACAAAAAACAAAGAAACAAACTATCTAAGCAGCAGACTGAAATAATTAAAAAAGAGAATACAAAATGCAAAAAAATGTGATAGAAAAGGGCAGCAATTTCTTTAGCTGTTGCCGCCTTTAATTAATTCCAACACGGGTTAATTTCATCCACATGGCCCATCCATAAAAGAAAGCTTCGGGTGGTATTACTTAAGCAAAAGTATGCATAGAAATCCTAATAAAAACAACAATAACAATAATAAACAAACTGTGCAGGCTACACTTGAGACCTGTTTTGCGGTTATTTGCGGCAACTTCGCAACTCGTTGACCTGGCATCATTAACCAGCCCCAGTAACCAGCAACCAAAGAGCAGCCAACAACCAACAACCATCAACCAGCTGGACGGCAAGTGGGTGCGACGATATGGATGACGACAACGACAATACTGAAGTCTTTGACGACGATAGAAATTAGCAAATGTGTCGCATCATTAGCCACAAAGCCAGGGTTGTCTATCCATTGTACAGGAAAAAGTTTGCGGCGAAGCACTTCAAGTGTTTTGGCATCTTTCTTTGTCTATCCCACATTGTTTGCGGTTTTTGGCGCCGGATTAGCCTAATGATGAGGGCCATGCGAAGCCAAGATGCGGGCCCTGGCTCTTTCAGCGAATTTCACCTGAATTTTGATGCCTGATTATATAATTCATTTGGCTCTGTTAGGTGTTGATCTATTGATGTATTGATTGATTGCAGTTGTGACAGTCGTCTGAAATTTGGTTTTGGTGTCAAGTGGGTACACTCGCAAAAAAGGCCTATAGGGCTGTCCCGGAATGTTTTTCAAATGCAAGACAGACCACAAAAAATCAAAAAAGATGCTGTATTTATTAAAATGAAAAATATATTTTTGAACATTTCATAAAACTTCTTAAGAATATTTATGACTTTCGTTGTACTATAGTGGTAGATTTACTATTATAAGCAGAAGAATTGAAAAATAATTGCAAACGGCAGAAAGCTTCCAATATAATAAGTAGCTCATTTATATTGTCTATAAAAAATCAAAAGAGAAGCTGTATTTATTAGAATGAACAACATATTTTTGAACGCTACACAAAATTTCTTAAGAATATTTATGACCTTCATTTACATGAACTATGATAAGCAGAAGAATTGAAAAATATTTAAAAATATTTGTAAACGTTATAAAGCTTCCAATATAATAGCTCATTTATATTTTTTTAAATATTGCCTGCTTATGTCTGTGAGAGTCTCACAAAGCATTTAAGCTTTAAACATAGTATTCGATTGATTAACTCGTGGAAGAAGTAGAGTTATGTTTAAGGATGTAGGTTCCCTCACACCCGAGAAGGGAACTTTTCCATTCACATCTGTCCGCTCTAATCTTTTGCGGAAAGCTGTCATATGTGTTTCTTAACTCTCTTCTTTACGGCACCTATACATGCATACAAATAGAAATCCTCCTGAATTGCAGCAGCAAATTGAGAAACGTGCATTATGTTTTTATTCGAATACTAGAGTTTTCGTCAACTGTAATCAAAATCGAAGAAGTGAAGGCCATACTTTCCATTCCGAAACTCAATAAATCTTATTGAAAATTACGAACACATTATTTGATAAAATATTTTCACACTTGCAACATATATCAAGGCAACGGCAAGTGGGCAAAATTTGCACTACAAATGATTTCAACACTCAAAAGGCCGCCAAGAGGAGGCCTTTGGCCAATAACACATTTTGGGGCCCAGACAATGCTGAGTTATGGCAACAGCAAGCGCCCATGTTGCACTTTTTACAAATTTCTAAGCCCCCCAAACAACATCAGCCGACAAGCAGAAATAGCAACAACAGCAGCAGCAACAACAACAACAACAACAGACAAGTCAGAATCAGAACAAAGCGCAGATCTTCAGCTTGCAACATAAATCTCTTGACGCCTGCAAAATGCACAATAAGTCGAAAAAAGAACGAACGCCTTTCTTTTGAGCCCGTCTCGTGTCTTGCTCTTGACTGCTGCATAATTTCCAGCAACAACAACAGCAACAACAGCATTCAAAAAAGCCAAATGGATTACAATAATAATTTTTCATATGCAGATTTTGCTACAGAAACTTGGCAACAAGTTGCCAAAGCCATGAATAATATTTCATAATTTCCTTGAAGCGAGGGAGGCAATAGGGATCAGAGGAAGCTGCCTGATGCATGCACTTGAAGAAAAGTCGATGATTTAAGGAGTTGTATTTTGTTCGCCATTTAATTTTGGCATTATCGTCTTAGTATACGGAATTAAAACTAAAGTACTGCAGCAGTTTTTAGATTGTATTTATAATCATTTGTAATGGCTATCGTTTATGAATTTTTCAGATACAAAAATAAATTATATTCTGAAAACATGAACTTAACTTCAAGTTAATGAACATTTTATTTGAAAATTCGAGGTATTTTGGAAACGTTTGTTAACGTTTATTATGCATGATTTATGCATTTTTCAGATACATAAGAATATTATATGAACAAAATATTCTAAAAACATCAACTTAACTCAAGTATACGAACATTTTATTTTAAAATTCGACGTATTGTGCAAAAGTTTATTAATACCTTACCTAAGAATGGTCAAGAAATCAAGTCTAATAGGATTCTATGGAGGTTTCAATGACGCAGAAGAAACGAACTATTAGGAATAACGACATAAAGGGGCAAAATTAATAATAATAATATTTATATAAATAATTCCATATTTTTAAAAACAGTAACAGCATCGTCGATTTCAGCCGTCTTGTACAAAAAGGACCAATCAATCAGTTCAGTTTCTTGTGGTACAAAATCTTCTCTATAAAATCTTCACACAAATCAGCAATCGGTTATCAAA